TTTTTAAAATAATCGATACCTAAAAGTCATGAAGTGTCCAAATGAGGAACATTACAAGTTGGTAAATATTGTAATACTCTTAAATGATGTAAAGAAATGTTACATAATCTCATTTGCGCTTCTAGATGTGTATTTAAGAATGTAAGGGAATTCGCGTGGAATCGCAAAGAATGACACATTTAAAAATTCTATTTTTTGATATTTCTATGTCTGATACTTAAGAAAATATTGAAATATAAATGTTAATAACAACTATTTTCTTGAGAGAATATTTAAAATTAATTAAATTAAGATTTTTAAATATAAATAATGTACAATGAACGATGTTGAACTTATTATTTTCTTATTTCAGTGTATAATATTTAAGAAAACAAATGTTCTTTGAGATTAAAATAAAATGAAATTATACACTTGTGTGCATTTTACCTAGATACGAAATGCTTTTCAATAGAAAACGAAGCACTTCCGGCTCGATATGTATCCCATGGGTCTACCTTTGTTGAATTACAAAATTTAATAAGTTTCTTTTATTTCAATATCTTTATTGTTTTATGGAACATAAGAACCATAAGTTTCCACTAACAATTATAGACTTTTTACTTGTGTCTATTTCTTGGAAATAATTTAACAAAAAATGTTTTCGTTAAACCTACTTTATAAAATATTGTAAGAAATATTAATATAATTATGTAAAGTCTACACTAAGCTTAATATGAGACATACAAGTTTATCAGGCTTGCAAATTACTATATTAACATTTAAGCACACTATGTAATACAAGTTGATTCAGTATTAATGAAATATTTACATATTTTTTAATTAAACTAGTACTAAATGGAATTAATGTAACTTTACTAATATTTTATTCAACTTTTACAAAATAAAGTAATCATAATCATACAAATTATTTTTGTACCTTATCTATTTTTGTTTCCCATTTGCAGATTCTATGCTCATTTATAAAACAAAACATTGCAATTTTACTTGCTACTTGGAAAGTACTGCGTATTATATAATCATTAAAAGTTAATAATTGCAATAAAAAAATAGATTTGTTTTAATGAAATAAACATAAATGTTTAAACTCATTGAAAAACTTACGTAATGACACAGGTAAACGTCGTTTTACCCCGGGCGTTCCGTTCCTACAAAAGCCGTCGCAAATCGAATCGGCGTAAAATGAATCCATATTTACAGTGAGATAACTATAGGGTTTAGTTCTATATAAGTGTAAAATCAGCAATTAATAAGCGTTATTTCACAGCGGTAAATCGAACCGGCGCATTATTTATTTTTTACAAAATTTAATATTTTTTTAATATTTACAAAAGGTATATTAGGGGACACCCGGGTTTGAACCGGGGACCTCTCGATCTGCAGTCGAATGCTCTACCACTGAGCTATATCCCCAGATGAAATGCCTATGAAATTTACTTCATTCAAATAAAATTTCCACAACAAGATACACCCACGTTATATATAATCTTAGATAAATATTTATATAGCCAAAACTGAGGAATGAACTTACACAGAGTAAATACCATTGTCTTATATACAAAGTCACTATTTAAAGCAAAATAATAACATTCAAACTTTAATTTAAAACAATTACATAAAAGTTATTAGAAGTTAGAAGTTAGTAATTAGAATTTTTTTCAATTATTCTTCGAATCTTGTAAAATGTAATTATTATTATCAAATTTGTACAATTTGCACTTAAATAATTCAATTGGTTTTAAACAAGTTTATTATAATAATTGGTACTCTTGGGATCCTTTACAAGACAATATAGATACTTTGATAAGTTGACTAAGACTTTACTCATCTTGGGTTTTACTGAGACTAATTCTAAATACTTATTCTACTTACAAAGTTAATTCTTATTAATGCGGGTTTGGTAGGGCTTTGTATATATTGATGATTAAGCGTTCCCACGGGATTCGGCCTTGGTGGTTTTGTTTATTATAAGACCGGGACAAAATCCTATGCATTTGTTTATATGAAAAAGATGATCGATTACGATTGTACGTGTAATGATCATTATGTGTTTATAATAAGGACTTGAATTCGGAGTAAAGGTTTAGGAGTATCGATGGGAGTGTTTACGCTTGGTCCCCTTTGTTTATATTAAAGTGTATAGAACTGGGACCACGGTAGAAATTCCTTTATGCTGATGTATCTGTTTATATAATAATGCGACTAAGAGACGCCGTGGATGTCTCTAGTTTGTTAATACACTATATTAATAATAACAATTAAAGAGTGTCCAAAAATTAACACAAGATTTGAATTTGCCGCCATTTGTGCAGTAAAGTGTTGGAAACC